CAGCAATACTTAGCGGCTAGCGCTTGCATTGGGGTTCAAATTATTTAAATTATCTAACTATAATTACTACTTATTTTAATTTAAGTTTTTTTTTTCTGACAATATATTTCCCAAACATTTTTATTTGTTGCAGTAATTTGTTTCAAATTTAAAAATTATAATAACTAAAAAGTAATTGTATAATTAATTAATTAATTGTAAACTAGTCATAAGTAATTCATCAACGTTTCATAAACAGTCAAGGGGGTGCTGTTGATGATTCCTCGATGACAGGCCATACAAACTGTTGATGAATTTAACATGGGCATGTCCTTGGCTGTCAACAATTGTTGATGAATCATCGATGAATTGTTGCTGTCATCAATAAAAATTCATCAACAATTCAGCGATGATTTGTATATAATTTTTATTTTTTGTTTAATTTTGAAAATCGGATTACTTTATCATATAGATGCCATAAGAACAATGGAGAAATTAATAATATTACAAATTATAACTTTTTTAGTTTTCAACAGATTTTCATCAAATTTGAGATATAACCCTTTTTTATTATTAAAGAATTTCCATTTTAATTTAATGAAAATCGGACGACTATATCATATAACTGAGACTGGGAAATGAAAACCGCAGATGTTAAACTGTAAATATAATATGTATAGGTGAATGAAATGAAAGAAGACATTACTTCAGTGTTTTTTAACATAAATATATATAATTTATATTGTTTTAATTCCTAGTGGTCGAAGTTTTACCTGCAAGGGTATATAAACTTCGGCGTGCCAAAGTTAGCTTCCTTACTGCTTTACCATGAGTTGATTTGGTTTTTTTCTTTGCATTTCCAAAGTCCCGCCTGATCAAAATTGTTTCTGATTTAGGAAAGACCTATGCGGCCTGCAGTATTAGTGTAGTCGCCGGCTTTTCTCAGCATTGGATTTTATAGCTAGGAAAGGTCAAATAATGGACGCTCTACAAGCCCAAGCCGAACTGTCAATTCTTGAGCTTAGATTTTAGTTTAGCTTATAAACAATGCCTATTGGTTACATTTTATTTGTTAAATATTACCTAAAAGTCAACAAGTGTAGCATTATGAAAAAACTTAAATTAAAATTAAAAAAAATTATCTTCCAGCTCAGTGTGCCATCTCCTCTGTGGAAATGGCTCACCGGATTTGCTGATGCTCTGCCGGAAGTTGCTGTACTGGTGGTTGGCAACAAGTAGCTGCTCGAGGTTTATGTGGTAACTGGTCTGTTAGTGTCTATTGGCACCTGGACAATCGCAATTAAAAACATGAAAGGAAGCTGAATTCTGCACGCCAAAATTTATATACCCTTGCAGAAAAAACTTCGATCACAATGATTTAATACAATATATACTTTATATATTTATGTTTAAAAACAACGATCTAATGTCCGCTCTCATTTCATTTACCTTTACATATATATGTTATATATATATATATATATATATATATATATATATATATTTATTATATTTACAGTTTTACAGTCACTTTTCATTTTTCCTCTATATCTTACCATATTTTGGATGACAGCTATAGACCTCAGATTTTCATAAAATTGTAAAATATATAAATAATAATATATAATAGCTATATCTTAATTTTGATGAAAATCTGTTGAAAACTGAAAAAGTTATCATTTTGTATGGTATTAATTTCTCGATCGTTTCTATGATAGTTTTATGATATAGTGGCCCTATTTTATAAAATTTTACACAAATTTGTAGAATAATTTAAATATCTATATCTCTAATTTGATAAAAATCTGTTGAAAACTGAAGAAGGTATATTTTTTTTTTAATTTTCCGATCATTCCTATGGCAGCTATATGATATAGTCGTCCGATCCGACATACATATATAAGAGTGAGAGTAAAGTTTTATTCAGCCTTAAAACTGAAAGACTAGTTTGCGTATATATATATGGTTGGAGGTGACTCCTTCACTGCGTTTAAAAGTTTTGACCAAAATTCTTATACCCTGCATAGGTATAATAATGCCATGTCCAGTGATTTCAACATTGCGACACTGTAGAATGAATACATTTTCTGCTTTCCACTTGCGGCCTTTTTCCACTCACGTTATTATTTTGTTTTATATTCAGCTCCGCTGGTTGCTGCACATATTCTTTATCTTTCCTACTGCCCTAGCATGTCTGCCGAAACTTCCCTACATAGCCTCAGTCCGTTACCCGATTTTCAACTTTGGGAAACGGTTCTGTTGACGCTCAGGGCAACGGTCGAGCTGAAGAGATCTTGGAGGCGTAACCGACCCCCTTTTCGCGCCATCCTAAGTCCCCCACCGTTGGTCCTATCGGTCCAACTATCTGTATATCTATTCGATATATCTATGCCTATTTTATCCGACGTCAACGTAAAAAATAGTCTTGCTAGATTCATGATATTCATTTGAAAAATGTGTGCGGCGAGAAACTCTGTGCAAAATCAGCATTAAATTTACTGAATGTTTTTCTATATATATCTAAAAATAATCTTACGTTCCGCTGATTAATGAATTTTTTTTGTTCACAGTTCTAATTTACATAAAGCGTTTAAAATCAAAAATTTTTAGATATATTTTGTAAAACGGTTTAAAGAATGATGTTAAATTAACACCATTGGAACAGAGGATGTTAAAAAAGATAAGAATAATAAAAATAAGAAATATATGGTTAACTTGAAAGAAATATACGGAAATTAGAAACTGCACATATGTGTACTTATATCGCATTCTCGACCTCATACCCAGCAAGGGAAGCCTGGAGCGGGGACAGAGTGGCCGTGGAGGAGGAAGTATCCCTCTACACCGACGATTCCAAGTTGACCTGTAACGTAGGGGCTGGGATCTAAGCTGAGAATTGGGGGACTGAAAAGGCGTTCAAACTCTCAGACTCAGCGACGGCCTTTCAGGCTGAGTTACTAGACATAAGGGAAACCGAACTTTTCAACGACGCCAAACTACGGATCTATGGACTATCAAATCCCTAGCTGCCGTGAAAACCAACTTGCGCCTAAGGACAGAAAGAAAGAAGTCCCACTCGCATGACTCCCCAATTGGCAAATTCCTCAAACCAACAAAAAAAAATACAGGTACTCCAGCACAATTGATACAATAATTGACTCCTGCAAATCCCTATCCCTCCATCTCTCCCTTGCTAAAAACTACCCATCCAAAAAATACAACCCAGAAATAATCATAAAAGCCACAAACACATCCCTATCCCACTACAACAAAAACACCACACCCCCTATAACCTTCCACCAACTTTTCCATTCTATAAAAAACTCCCTCCCCAACCATCAATTCCTCTACACCGACGGCTCAAAGACTAACGAAATTGTTAGCTTTAGCATAACCAACGACCACAACACCATTAAAACCGGACTCCTACCCTATTACTCTTCTGTCCTCACAAGCGAAGCTATAGCCATACTAGAAGCGGTACAATTCTGCAAGAAAAATTCAGGGAAGTTCGCTATATGCTCTGATTCCCTATCTTCGTTAAGAGCCATAACCAACTCCAACAACCACTCCTACTACCCAGGCGCAATCAGAAACATAATAACCAAACTCTTCCTTAAAATTATACTTATCTGGATCCTAATCCACATTGGCATAAAAGGAAATGAGAGAGGGGACAGAACAGCCAAGGAAGCTTACAATTATCCACTCATTCTTACCAAAAACTTCAACTCCAAAGATATCACACAACACCTCAAAAATTACTACAGTCACATAGAAAAAGATCTGCAAAACCAATGCAACCATTGGTACAACCATATTGCACTCAACACCCCTTCAAACTACTCCCTCAAAACCACAAGCCTTAGCAGACAACAACAAATAATAATCAATAGACTACGTCTAGGCCACACACAAATCACAAACGCCCACTATATTAATAGAACAATACAAAACACTTGATCTTTATGCAATAATACCACAATAGATATAAAACACATATTAATCGACTGCACTACACTTTCCCAACATAGAACCTCATCCTTCTCCCACTAAAACCCAACCCAACTCCTCGCAAACCCAACAACAGAAAACTCAATGAAAATCCTCTCCTTTCTTCACAAAGCTAACCTCACCCACAAAATTTAGCCTTTAAGTCCTTTGTATAATACTAAAATCTGTATACATTTAATCGAGCGGTTGGCCACAGCAGCCAATGCTCAATATCCTATGTTTTCCTTTAGTTTACAACCAACCGCTAGCTTTATATAAATAAATAAATTCCTAATGATCGAAGTTTTATCTGAAAGGGTACATATATAAGCTTTGGCGCGTCGAAGTTAACTTCCTTTATTGTTTAGTATGATATTGATAAAAAGTCAAAGTTTTATTCACTTATTCTTATCTTATGTTGTATCCCTTATTTGGCTGCGTTTTGGGCCAGAACCATTGGGGTTAAATAGAGCTGGGCTTGTCAATAAGTGGGTCAGAATATCTTACGATAGGTGGGTCCCATACAGGAGCTCGAAATGTATTAAAATATATATTTTTTTGTCGCTGTGTAAACATATTACATACGTTAATCAATAGGTAATAAAGGTAGTACGCCTTTGGGAGTTTAGAAATTTGATGAATTTTATTGCGCTGGACTTATTGACTGCTTAAAAGGAGAATGGTATTTTGGGAGTATATATTAGTCACAGAAGATGTCTTGTTAGAGAATCTAAATTTTCCTATGTAGCTAATAACCAGGGTGAAAGACAGGTGGTTGATTACATTTCGAATTAAAAAAATTTAAGTTCGTATGCTGAAGCTTAAAATCAATTAAACCGCAATCGACCTAAGGCAAGGTAAATTTGGGATAACTTGTGTGAAATATCACTATTCAAGTGAGTTTGTCGTATTTGAATCCATGCTAAAAAATAGTTTCCACACCTTACTAAGTAAACGCTGCCGCACCTGTCACGTCAGCATTTCACCACTTGACGTGAACTATTCGCCGGATTCACTTGTAAGGGAAACTTTTCGGTAACAGTTCGACTCAAAATCAGAAAAAAAATTTAATAATTAAAACAGCGCTCTCAATTTTTCATTCATAGGTATTAAAAATCGGTGCCAGTAAGTCCACCAGCACGAAATGTCTATGACCCGAGTCATCAGGAGCTGCGCTCTGCTGCGCTCCCAGGCCCGTATTCGGATTCCTCTTCAAATACTGCGGGAAAAGGCCGACTACGGAAAAACCGTGTGCAATCTTAAGATCAACAAGGAAACCAAGGTTCTAGTACAGGGTTTTACTGGCAAGCAGGCAACCTTTCATTCTGAGGCTTCGCTCAAGTACGGCACCAAAATCGTGGGCGGAGTGTCTCCCAAAAAGGGTGGAACAGAACATCTCGGCAAGCCTGTGTTCGCCTCCGTCTCGGAAGCGGTAAATGCGGTCAAGCCGGATGCCACAGTAATCTTCATACCGCCACCTTCCGCTGCTGAGGGCATTTGCTCGGCGATCGAGAGTGAGATTGGTTTAATCGTTGCTATTACCGAGGGCATACCCCAGACAGATATGGTTCGCATTATGCAGATGCTGCGCTCGCAAGAAAAGAGTCGTTTGTTGGGTCCGAACTGTCCAGGCATAATCTCGCCGGACCAATGCAAGATCGGAATTATGCCAGGGGATATCCACAAAAGAGGCGCCGTGGGCATTGTATCTCGGTCGGGAACGCTAACCTACGAGTCGGTTCAGCAGACCACCAAGGTGGGCCTTGGACAGGCCCTTTGCGTGGGTTGTGGCGGTGACCCCTTTAACGGTACCAGCTTCATTGACGCCCTTCGTGTCTTTCTGCCCGACAAGGAAATTAAGGGTATTATATTAATTGGCGAGATCGGAGGCACTGCCGAGGAAGAAGCTGCCGACTACCTACTTAAAAACAATACAGGCTGTGAAGCCAAGCCGGTCGTGGGCTTCATCGCTGGCCAAACGGCACCCCCAGGACGTCGGATGGGCCACGCCGGCGCTATTATCTCTGGCGGCAAGGGCGCGGCTAAGGACAAAGTGGAGGCCCTTCGGAAGGCGGGCGTCCGGGTGGCGGAGAACCCTTGCCACCTGGGATCCACGCTGCTCGAGGAAATGGTGCGCCTAAAACTGGTCCCACAGCCGGACAAAAATGCCCAGGTGGACCATAAGCAGGCCGGTGGGAAGTAACAAGTGACCACAGAGGAGAAGCCTTTTGAATTGGTGTATTTGACCAATATATTAAAGTTTAAAATAAACTCAATAATGTTCCCCTCTAATCAACAAAATTTTATCAAATTAAAGAAATAGGCATTTTATATCATTTAACAATTTTGTGTAGATGCTATGGGAACGATCTAAAAAATAATTAAATTAAATATTACAACTATTTTAGTTTTCAACAGATTTTCATCAAATTTGAGATAAAGCCTTTTATACTCAAGAATTTCCATTTTAATTTATGAAAATCGACTATATCATATAGCTGCGTAACGTAACACATTCATAGAATACTTTTCTAAAACCCATATTACGTTCTTTTTAGTTAAGTAAGTCGGTCAGCAAGTGAAGGTTGTCGTACGTAACTTTGGAGGTAGTCTAAGTTGAAGTTTACCGTCCTTATCAGGGTTATTGACAGCATTATCGTTTGGGAGTTTCCATATTTTTAAAAGGGATATTTTGTATGGCCAATAATCTATCATTTCACCAAAAAATGTAGTAAATATTAATTGGATTAACCGCCACCTCCTCTATCGTATTGCAATTCGTAAAACGTTCCCCTTAATTTAACACATCATATTGCTTATAAACTGTTCTTAAAATGTTGTATGACTTTAATAACAGAGTGAGTCTGAGCATTGTAGAATTTTCGTCTTTTCTTTTTGTAGGTCTCTAAGGCCTCTATAATGGCTAGAAGCTCTGCTGTGAAGATTAATAGTAACTGGGGTATGAGTGACGTTAGGCAGGTTCAGCTTCTTTCTGAAAGCTCCAAAGGCGATTTTTAAGGCTGCATTGATAGTGGATTTGTAACGATCGTAGCAGATGGTTATGAACTTAAGGGGCGCATGCAGTGTGTGAACTATATTTGTGGACAGAGAGAGCGAAAAAGTGCAATCTTCAAGGAATAAAAACGTTCAAACGTACTAACCAAGGGAGCGGGAAATACGAAAGTTGCTAAATCAGGTTACTCTAACTTACTGTGCATTTAGATGAGTTTCTGAGAGTGTTTATTTTGGATTAAAACAGAAAGGAAGATAACTTCGGCAACAACAATATCAATAATATATATCTATGTTAAAAAACAATGAAGTAATTTATATTTAAATATAATATGTATATATGAATGAAATGAAAGAAGGCATTACTTCATTGTTTTTATATATGTATATTTATATAATATATATATATATATATATAAATAATACATTGGCATTGCCTCTACTGTCAAGAGCAGACGTCTACTTCTCCAAACTCTAAAGAGAATAAAATAAAAATAATAAATACAAATAAAAACCTACAAAAACTACCAACAACCGCAAGTGCAAGTACAAGTGCAAGTGCAAGTATAAGTACAAGTGCAAGAGAACTGAAAAAACTACCAACGGTATAAGTCAGAGTCGTAGGGATGGGGGACCCCCCCGACCCCGACCCAGCAAATGCTGTAACAACTGGACAGCTCCTGAAATCCCCAGGACCTAAATAAAATCTAAAATCTAAATCTAATTGTCTCCAGATCTGACACCGGCCTTGACCTCAACAACGTCAACCCTTTCCTCATTAAAAAACAAATTGATTTTGCCTGTGGTGGAGAAATTGAAGAATGCAAGAAACTCCGCAACGGATCACTGCTCATTAAAACAAAAACAAATGTACTAGCATTGAAACTCATGCAGCTCAAACTTTCACTCCTACCATCACCACCTATATCATACGCCGACATCTACCCCAGCTCCAGTAACAACGTAACCAATAAGATTATCCCCTCCACAACCACTAAATCCACAAACAAATCCATAAAAATCCTACCCCTAAACACACCTAAAAGATTAATTGCTTCCATGAAAAAAGATGCTAAAAACCCTAAACCAAACACCAAAACTAACTCAGACGCATCTAGCGACTCAGGGGAAATGGACACATTTTAATCAAAACTAATCAAACAACTAGTCAAACCATGTTAAAAATACTACAATGGAATATCAAAGGCTCCAAAAACAACTACCCAGAATTAAAATCTCATTAAACTCACCACCCCCAAATCATAGCGCTCCAAGAAATCCACCTCACCAATACATCTTCCCTACCAATCCCCAGAAACTTCTCCCTATACTGCAGTGACAGCACCAACGCTTTCGGAGGAGCAGCATTATTGGTGCATAACTCCATCTCTCACTCCCATAAAATCCTCAGCCCACAATTCCCCCACCAAACAATTCAACATTAAAAACTTAGAAAATGTTCTAACCCCTACATCCCCCTCTACTATCGTACTAGGGGATTTTAACAGCTGGCATCCTTATTGGGGCTCCCCTAGATCCAACTCCAGAGGCAACACAATAGCTAAATTCATTGACAGATCCGACTACACATTACTAAATGACAAATCTCCAACCCACTATTCGACACACAACACATTTACGCAAATCGACTTTTCTCTCGCCACAGCCAATATCGCCCCAGAGATCTATTGGAGGGTCCTCAATGATCTACACGGAAGTGACCACTTCCCTATTCTAATCTCAATGTTCCCTACACATTCATCCCCGAACCTCACATCCAAACCCTCCTTCAATCTTAAAAATGCCAATTGGGCCTCTTTAGAACTCATATTTCCAATCAGTCCACTCATAATCAACCCAGTAGTAACACAAACAAAGAAGCACCTACTCTTAAAAAAAATCCTAATCCAATCTGCCCACCTATCCATATCCCAGAACACCACCTACTCCCTCCCACACACTGTTCCCTGGTGGAACAAAACTCTAGCTCTACAGAAGAAAAAATAGAAACCTCAAATGGCGAACTTTAAAAAAACAATATCAGCACTAAAAACATAATCGAATACAAAAAAGCTAATGCCATCTTCAGAAAATCTATTAGGGAAGCCAAAAAATCCTCCATCTTAAAATTCGCATCGGCAATCCACCCAAACTCCGACCCAACATTAAAAGACTCTGTGGAATGTACCCTTCCAAACACATACATAGCATTCACAACCCCTCCACTCAAACAACTTCTGTAGATCCAACCGAAATAGGCAACACACTAGGAGACCTATGGTCAAAAGAGGCAAAGGACTCCAACTTTCCTACCGAATTCCGCACCAACAAAATTCTCCTTACACCACCCTTTCCCTACCCCTTATCCCCAACAGCCTCGAAATTGAAAAAAACATTACACTTATTGAACTTAACGCAGCCATAAACTCTCTAAAAGGTCACACACCTGGCCGCATCTCTTATCCTATGATTAAAAATGCACCCATCTCCTATAAGCTTCGAATCCTCCACCACTTCAAGAACATCCTAGACCCACATCCCCCAATCCTATAAAATCAGCCTCGTACTACCCATCCTCAAGCCCAATAAACCCCAAACCAACCCCAACTCCTACCGCCCCATCTCACTCAACCCTTGCATGGCCAAAGTTCTCGACAAAATCCTAGCGAAAAGGTTATGGTGGTTTGTTTTAACAAACAAACTCATTCATAACAACCAATTCGGCTTCAAAAGAGGCAAATCTGTTCTAGATAGTCTACTTTACGTAGATCATCTAGCAACCAGATCTTTGTCTCTTAAAAGACACTTAACAATAATATCTCTTGACTTTGCTAAAGCCGTTGATAAAATTGGCATCCACACCCTCATCCGCCAATTGGAGGAATGGAAACTAGGCCCCCGCATTATAAGATACGTCCACAACTTCATGTCCAACCGGAAATAGTAGACTACTGCCTACCCATCTACGGGGAAGCTCCAACCTCCATCCTTAGCCGACTCAAATCCTCACAAAACACAGCTATAAGAGCAGCGCTTGGTGCCTTCAGAACAACACCAACAAATAATCTGTTGACTGAATCAAAAATAAGCCCTATTTTAATCAGACAAAATACCACACTAGAAAACTAGCAACTAAACTGATCCACTTGCATGACTCCCCAATTGGCAAATTCCTCAAACCAACAAAAAAAAAAATACAGGTACTCCAGCACAATTGATACAATAATTGACTCCTGCAAATCCCAATCCTTCCATCTCTCCCCTGCTAAAAACTACCCATCCAAAAAATACAACCCAGAAATAATCATAAAAGCCACAAACACATCCCTATCCCACTACAACAAAAACACCACACCCCCTATAACCTTCCACCAACTTTTCCATTCTATAAAAAACTCCCTCCCCAACCATCAATTCCTCTACACCGACGGCTCAAAGACTAACGAAATTTTTAGCTTTAGCATAACCAACGACCACAACACCATTAAAACCGGACTCCTACCCTATTACTCTTCTGTCCTCACAAGCGAAGCTATAGCCATACTAGAAGCGGTACAATTCTGCAAGAAAAATTCAGGGAAGTTCGCTATATGCTCTGATTCCCTATCTTCGTTAAGAGCCATAACCAACTCCAACAACCACTCCTACTACCCAGGCGCAATCAGAAATGATTGGGAATGAGAGAGCGGACAGAACATCCAAGTGCATCAAGTGATCTATTACTAATACTACGAGAAAATAGTTTAAGTGTTCCCAAAGACTGCCGAACATTAAAAAGAGCCCCATGAAACTCGATTGCGTAAAAAATGAGAGATGCATATTATACCCATTGTGGTGTGGAAAATGCCATATCCAATTTGTTACTAGACACTGACGGGTTACATTTATTCAAAAGTTCAAATACACAAATATGGCCAATACTTGCAATGTTCTATGGTTTGTGTTGAGAATACCAAAAGTCACACTTATACACATACACATTGTGCGTGTGTGTGGGCAGGGGATGAACAATGATGTCAGAGAGAGCCAAAGCTCTCCCTCTCTGCTTAAGAACGCTTTAACCAAAGACTTTATAACTTATACTTATACATCTTTGCTTTAACCTTCCTTTTGCATGCTCATGCTTGCAGACAACGAGAGCGTGCGGTTGTGAAATAAAAATTAAGTAAAACTACAATTAAAGTGTTTTTACTATTTGGCAAATCTGGCTGGTGTGTTCTTGGAGTTTGTATAAACTTTGTTTTATATAAATCTCATAGTTTGAATATGTCATGTAAATT